GAGCGACTGGTGTACGCTAAACAAGCTTCAGAAGCGAGGAAAAGTCCAAATTCAGGCTACGTGGTGTTTGGCAAAACAGGATTTACTTTTAAGTGATTTGCCCAACGAGAAACAAAAACACCGTGGCAAAGAGAATGTATTTCTCATGTTCAACCTCCCACGCTTTCTACTTCTGAATCCAGTTTATCATTCATTGTACAGCTTCCAGTATTGTTACGAGTGAGAAATGTGCGCGTGCACAGACACACACTTTGCTTTCTCCTATACTCAGCCTGTTTTTATTCCTGGACAAACTCTGTTGGCTACTTAAGAAAATATAACCAGTAACAAAATCGAAATACAACAACATCAGTCAATGCCTGCAGGATGGGAGTGGATTCAGCTATCCAGACAGCCCAAATTTTGGCATAATTTTGCTTCTGAATTTATTTGCATGTGCAGATAACGTGCACGTTTTTCAGCTTAAGGAGAATTTGGAAAAGCATATGTTTGCATCATTGTCATGCAGAAATTCAGATAGTTCCCAGTGACACAAGGAGCTTTATACCCCAGTGCAGACTTCTCTTATATCATTTCACAGTGACTGATGGCACCAGTACTTTTTCCATCTTCTAGAGGCAGGGACTACAGACCCACAATTTCTTCCTCAATATTAAAAGGCCATTTAAATTCAGCAACCTTAGATCCAATGCCTAAGCTCTGGGATGGGACATATTTTCAATAAAGTATCAAAGTTCTCAGTATCTAGTTCTTAGCCCAGTTCCTCTACTCTGCCAATTTCAGGCTTTACATCTGGAATTTCCCCATCCTTGCATCCTTTCCCCAGCCATTCCAGCACACTACCCATGCAAGATTTTGTGTTAGAGCACCAATGTTCTCCTTGGTTCATCCCTCTTCTCCATATTTGCCATAATTTATTCTTTTGGAAGAATTTTATTCAATTTCTTTTGGAATTTAAAAAACCCTTAAACTAAGCAACCAAACTAAAACAAGTTGTGACATTTCTTATCTCTAGTGTCAATGCTAAGCACTGTTCAATACCTTTTCTTCACCTTGAAAAAATCCTAAATAAAGTGTGATGTAAATTCAGACATTTACAGTGTTATAAATTCTTTAAGTTTCTAAAAAAAGAAAACAAAGAAAACAATACCCTGAGCTTCAAAAAGATTTTGATCATTCAGGTAATTTATCCTGCAGATGTCAAAATCAGGCCAGAGTAAACAATTGTAAACTAATTTAATGTGAAAGCAAGGAACTATGGCAGAGAATGCAAGTTAAATAGTACAACCAGCAATCACATCATCAGAAAAAGCATTAAAGGTTTATTGTGGGAAAAGTCATTGAAACCATTAGATAAGTGTTCAATAGCAACAAAAAAGATAAACAAGAAATTCCACCTATACTTATCAATAGATAGAAGACAAAGCAAATCTGGTCTGTCAAATCTTTGTTCAAAAGAAAATCATGTAGCTACAGCAGACTGTCTTGTCCTTACAGACACGCTTCTTGAAAATGGAAGGGACTTCATCTTACCATAACTATACCATTCCTAGGCACGTTTTAGAAAATGCTAGAAAGAATAAACTGAGCTCTTCCAAGTACATACCCAGCTCTAAGTCCTTTTCCTGTTTCTGAAGTAGACATACACTTCATTATGCCTCAGTCGCTCCGTATGTTAGTCTTGTCTCTCTCATCTCAGCTCCCACATAAGCTAACCTGTGTCCGTATAAGAATTCAGCAAATTTATTGGTGAATTGTTTATTTGAAAAAAAAAACCCAAACAAACCAGTCCCAGATGTCAAACTGAAAGTGAAAAAAATACTAGGATTACATGTTTTTATACTTTTGAAATATTTTTGAGTTACTTTTGATTTGAAACATAAAAGTGTTCTTCATTGTGGGAGGCCTAGCTTCAAACATCTTTTGAAAAAAGGATTTGAGCCCACATCTGCCACATTATGGGAATGTTAAATGAAGTTTTGGGTTTTCCTCAAAGTAAAACAACAAACAATTGTCCTTTTGCATTTTCGTCGTTCAGAGCTTTTTTCCTCCCCATTTTCAGTTTGGCTGCCAAATTGAATACAGAGTCCTCCACATTCCCCCTGAATCAAATCTAGCACAAAACAGCTGCAACCATGTCTCTAGTGTTGATTACCTCCTAAACTGCTTTGGAAAATATTACATGAAAGAGAAATGGAACTTACAGATCTACCTTCAAGAAAATATGGCTTGCATAAAAGGCCCTGTGTACATCACAGGTCGCAACTTTTGCTACAGCAGATAAACTGGAAGGAGGATTAAGGGTCTGACAGCTGCTGTATGTTGGTCATCCATCACTAGTTTACAGGGCTAATGCCCCTTTTTTAGCCAAGTATAATCTACAGCATCACTAATGCAGGCTTCACGGCATTAACAGAAGCTGAGCAGGTGAAAGGTTGCTTAAAGTCACCTTTTTCTGCACTTTATCCAATTATCATAGTTTGCTTGGAACAAATAATCAGTTCTTTCACTGAACAATCAGTTATTAGGCAACTAGGGAAGACTGGGGCAATAAAAATAGTACAGTCTCAACAATGTAGTCTCTAAGAAGAGACATCAAAATTGAATTTGTTTTCATTAAAAATGCTGATTTTTTCCTGAGAGCAGCCACTGCAATCTCTAACTCATTAAAAGCCACTTTTATGATTCTTTTAACAGATTTTTTTTCCTGATAGAGCATGTGTACACAGTTAAATAAAGGCAATAGCACATCTCTGTTACAATATAAAAGACGAACAAAAAGACAAACTCCAAGTACAGGTTTCTTCCTTCTTAGTGCTAAACAGTACTTTACTCACACAAAAAGTCCCTTTGAAATCCAAAGTACCTGCATGATGAAAGCTGTTCTACATTGAAGCTTCCAATCACTGTTAAGAAAAGAAACATTTCTAGGTTGCAGCATTAATGTAACTAGAACTGGGAAGGTGACTTTAGTTGAGGAATCAGTTTCAAAATACTTTCTCTATATTCTATGCCAGATATTCTAGACTAGTTGGAAGACATAAATTATGAGTATATCACTTGCTGTGAGCAATAAGCATTTGATACAGAGCTAGATATTTGTTACTGCTGTTAACGGCCAAGTCTGCAAGGGAAGTGACAGCGAGGACCCCGAGCCTGGCCACACACTGAGCATGACTTTAAATAATTTTTAATGAACTACTTTCAGAGGTAACTTGGTAGAAGTTTCCACCCTCTGCTTACATTCCAGTGAGCAGAATTCTGCTCTCAAGAAGTATTTCCATAAACCATTTCTTTTTAAGAATTTATATACAGGCTCCTGCAAAAGGCTAACATAATCGGTATATCAGAAAACCAGTCAAGACTCAGCTTCTGTCAAAGGAAATAATGTGACATTTTTGCTAAAACACAACTTTGCCCACTGCTATATTTTAAGTTTTAATGAACAGTCTGAAAATTATTTGTATAAAGTCTGAGAAAACTCAGAAAATTGAGCCCCCAGCCCCACTGAATCTACTGATGATTTATAGAAGATTTATTTTTTTCTCTCGCAAGATCTTCTTTCTGGTTGTAGTAAATGCCACCCACATACCTGAGAAACCATCAAGATATAAGATTCATGCACCCTTCCTAGAATATCGTACATTTCAGTCAGTGCACCAAATGCCCTTAGGGGAGCTACGTGGGTGAAACTGCAGCAGCCACTATGCACTGGAATGAACCTGCAGAGGCAACTGATAGAAAACAGGAGCACCCCATGTCCTGCAGACGTGCTTCTCACACCACCTCCCTTCTCACAGCCGTCTCTCTCTTCTCAGTCCTAATCTTCAAGGCAGACCACAAAACACTTCAAAAGATGAGCAAGGGAAATGAAATTCATAGCTTTAGCAGGTATTAAAAAATGTATTTTTTGTTTAATGGCTCAATGCAATTCACAGCCAAGATAAATCCCTTCATGCTTTTTAACATGATGAACTAGGCCTCTTTTCTACTGGAGATAATCACTCAATCACCTCTCCCGTTGTTAATAGCCCTCTTATCCACTAATCTCTACTTTATTTCACAATTATTGCCTGGGTTTTGTCTCAGAGATCTAGCTGTTTTTCAGCTTAATGCAGAGCCGTTATTCTCAAACCTGATGCCCCCAAATTATTGACTTTTTCTTTTCAGTTAGTTCAACTGATCTAATTTAAAGCTCATTCTCTGGTCTTCCCTATTTTTATATGGCATCCTGCACTGCTCAGGATGAGCTACATAACATCCTAAATTATTCCTCAAAAATTATGCAAGGCTGGAAGCATGATGTGAGAAATGCAACTGGACACAGAACAACTCCATTTGCTAATCCTTCAGGGAAAAGGATTGCCAATGGCATGGGCAGCACCCCATTTCCTAACTTTTAACAAGCAGTTTCTTAAAAAACTTCCACCTTAACTAGCAATTGCCAAGGAGAACAGTGGGTGGTGAGGAATGAGAGGAAAGACTGCATGAAGGAAACAACTTCCAGAACGTTCGCAGCTTGCCAAACACACTATTAACCAACAGTAATTACGGCACAGCGACCTGCTGCTCTGGGAGCCAGGAGGCCTGAAGCTAAACACCCTGGCTCGGTTAGCCCCACCTGCCCTACCGGTACCAGCAGGATTTAAGGGAGAGAAAGCCCAACAATTAAGGGTTAGGAGAGAAACAGCCTGTTTCTACAGGGAACAGGAGGTTTGGCTGGGAACTCCTTGTCGGTGGTATCTTGCCAAAGGCTGTCAGCCGGGCGGCTGTTGGTCTGATGTGCTCTGGCCAGCAGGGCTACTGCCTGCCAGCTGAGAGAGGTGGTAAGGAAAACTGTCGTGCTGGATTTGCCTTGCAGGAGAAGGGGGTTGTGATGCAGCTTCTGTTGGCTTTGTGATTTGAATTAAGGGTTGGAAGTAGATTATATGATACAGAGACAGTGTCACCCAGTTTCTGAAAGCCCTTGTGGTGCCGGGCCTGCAGGGTGCTGGGGAGGGCTCTTGCTGTTGGCAGGGTTTCTGTCTCACTGCTCTGAAGCATACAAAGTCCTTCTGAAAGCAGTGACTGTCGCTGCTCTCAGCCTTAAAGCAAAAATTCATTTGTATGTTCTTGACAGGTTTTAGTAGTTACAGTGTTTGATAAATAAGGTTAAAAAAATAGCATGGCTAGAAACTTTTCCTTCCCCCAAATTTGACTAATTATTAACACAACGGTTAAGTAAATTCAAATGTAGCAAATAAACCCTGTAATCCTCCATAGTTTCAGAACTATTTAATATACACTGTTCTTTCTGGCAAAGAACAATTGTTAGAGGAAAAATAGAGTGTACTTCACGTTGGGAGAGCAGGTAAGGTCCTTAAGTAGGAATCAAATGCACTACATGTGATTAAGTGGTTTCTATTTCCAGATCTATGCTTTGCCTCTTCCTTCCTTCTCCTGCCACTAATGTTGTGTCATGATTGTTCAAATCCAGACCTGAAAAAATGATCTAGGTTAAGAGAACCCTTATGGTTAAAGGTCTTGCATTTCACTGGGATCATTTTGCCAACACAGCGAGCACAGCTTGCCTTGATGCTGGCAAACCCAAGTGTACTAGCTTGTGATGGGGTAGGGAGCTGTTACCTCACAACCTGCTTTAGGGGAAGCTGGAATAGTTTTTCTTATTGTGGCTTAGGGTTTTCTGTGCTAGTCTCAGGGACTCTACTTGGCTTCCATATGCAGTTTTGTTGCCAGGGTTCATATTTTTACGTTGTAGCCTAGACAAAAAAAGCGAGATTCAGCTAAAGATCAGCACTGTTGATATCGCAGCAGTTTGTGCAGGAAGAAACTGTTTCATACTCAGTTTTTATGTCAATTTAACTGTTTCAGATACAATTATGTATGTTTTCTGGGTGGTTTTTTCCCAGCTTGGGGGGGGGGGAAGAAAACATGCACAAGAAGAGTTAAACCAAAGCTATTTCTAGCTGCTTGCAATTATATGAGAAAAACACTGTCTTTTACTGTAATTGGACCAAGATAAGATATTCTCAGTATATGTATCCTCATAATAAAGTAAGTGAACCTTATTTAATGAGTGTAATTAAAGCACAAAGCTGGGCGATTTTGGCTGGTAGGGACAATTGAGCTAATCACAGTGAAATCGAAGCGTCCTCACTCTGTGTGTTGTTACAACAGATACATCTGAACTGCGCTAGGGGAGTGCTCAGATACTGCGAGGGAAAGGTGATGAACTGCATTCTCCTGTGTGTATTTAATGGCCACTATTTGGTACTTCAGGACCAGAAAAGACAGGAAAATAAAGGTTATTCTCATCAGTACAGAGCAAGGTATACTTTACCCTTACTAAAGCTCATAGATAATTAAGCTCTGTGTGAAAGTAGAGCTATGTGATTACTCTTCTTTCTAACTATAGAGGCAGCATCTAACCATAATATTAGCAAGGCTAGGAAAACAAAATCCAGCTATAATGTATGGCTGATCTAAAGCTTTACTGAATTTCATATGCTGGTCACATTTCCCGAGGAAGTATTTTTTGTACAAGGATCTCATTCTGTAGTTTTCATCCTGGATTTTATAACCTGAATATCTCAGTCGAGTTCTTTCATCTTCTTAACAAATTAAGTATTACAATCTGCTTTGTGATACAGTAGTTTTAATCACCTGTATTAACTGAACTCTTTAAAATGACATCACATTTTATTAGCACTAGTGTGCATATATATGCTAGAGGGTATAATATTGTTCAATGAAATTGCTAAAGTGATTATGATGTGTTCATAGGTTTTGAAAGTACAGTGCTGTTGCCTGTGTCTTTTGTGTCATTGAATGCAGATCAGTTTCCTGAGGCAATATTGTCATGAGAATTTTGTAGCATGCCTCTAGACTAGCATCAGGAGAGGGCTCTGCTCCTAGTCCTACATAACAGTTTACATAACTCATTGGTGGTATTTCTCATCTAAAAAAATCTGGTCACTGTCACTGACAATTATGAATGCTTCTTGATCATGAATATGAGTTTCAGACAAAGCTTCTGGGAGAAGACTGATTACTCTAACTGGGCTTTTGTACCCATCAGTATTTAGTTTCTTTCAAAATATTGGATCTTCACTCAGGTGATATAATTACAAAGAGGAAAGAAACATCTGCCACACAGTTGTGAGACTTGACCACGTGAACAGATCTCATACAAATAAATGCGAATAGAAAACATACAGGTATAGGCCCCTTAAAGGTGAGCAAGTTACTAAATGCCTCTGGCATATCTCTGAGTATGCTAATCCCTGAACTACTCTACAGAAGCTTCAGTAAAAATAGTGTACTCTGTACAGTTTCTGATAGAACAGTTGTAGATGCTTGGTCCCAAGAACGATTCCTGAGTGGCTCTCAGCCTTGGTGCAGCACCTGAATTCCTGATGGGGATTTCCTACTGACCTTAACTGCTCTTTGCTCAGGGCACAGGTTGTTCAGCTGTCCTATGATGAGGCTCTTAAATCTTCTCATTCACAATACAGGGAGTGTAGGTGCCTAATGCAGAATTCCCTGCAGGCCATGGGCTGGGACACCAAGTGTTGTAGCCCATCAGTTTCTCACTGGACTTGGCCCAAAAACTCCTAATCCAACACCAACAGTGGTTTGTCTGTTTTGTTTCCTGTTTTTGTTTTAAATAGTAATGATGAATCTGATTAGCTGCAAGACAGCAGATGCTATGGCAATATAATATTTGAATAACAGATGTGAGAACAGACTCTGGCCTTGTTTTAAATGACGTTATTTTATATTATTTAACATTTTCTTGTGTAATGGAAGCCAGGTTTTCTGCTCTTCCAGAAACTCTTTACTGAATAATGTGTACAAAATCAGGACCATTATTATTTTATGCGTGTATATAAACCTGAGAAAATAGAACAGTAAAAGAACAGTATATATTTTGAAATATGATACTAATCACAGAAGGGTTAAAGTAATAGAACTGATCTATTTCTGTCATCTTGCCCAGGTAAAATAATCGAACATGATGCTTACAGTTATAGGTCAATGCCAAGTAAAAAAACTCAAAAACTGAGTCTTAAGAGGTTTCATTTAAGAGCCAGTTTTAGGCAACAGGCACACATGGGGATTCCCTGAGAGTATCCCAGCTTGCCCCATGATTCACAAAGCCTCTGTGAGAAGGCTTAGGCCTCATGTCATGTCAAGGTGACTGCAGATAGTCCTTTTGCTTTGGTAGACACTGTTGGTAGCTGCTTGGGGAAGAGCAGTGCAAGTACAAGTCTACAGAGATGAAAATTCCATTCTTCTAGAACCAGCGGTCTTTACCAAAGGCAGGCCACAAACCTGGGGTGGTTCCCTCCTTGTCACCTTGCTGCTGTTGTGTGGAGCAGCTTTGGAGACCATTCTCTTCAGACAGATAGCCTCCAGTTCAAGATGCAGCCATGAAGCAGCATATAATCAAGAAAGCCACACTGGCAATCTTCTTTAGCGTAGGAATGTGACTCCAGTGTTGCTGGAGCATTTGCCATCTAATTTCAGTAACTTCTTCCAACCAATAGAAAAATCTGAGACAGGCTTGGCTGCCAAGCATTACAGGCTTTGAAGTCCTCTGGCAGGTAAATCTGTATGTCAGTGACCTACAAAAACATCAAAAGGTATGTCAGAGAATGCTCTTGTAAGGGCTGTAAGCTGGAAGTCTAAAAGAAAATCCTCAGAGATAACACTAAAAGACTTCAAAGGTAGGAGATATGCAGAAAATCAACAACACTGGTCAAAATCAGAGAGAGAAACAAAAATTTTCTCTGACAAGTAGAAATTGGAAAGGAAATAAAAGGGAGAAATATGTACTGCTTTTTATGGTCACATGTGTACATGTACTTTATAAGCAACAGCTATCTTTTCTTCAAAGTATATTTATTGCTATGCTCAGAATATACACATAGACAGTTAATGCTTCAAAAGGAAACTAATAATTGACATCCATATTTATCTTTTTACTCACATATCTAAAGGTACTATAGAATGGTTTCTTTTTTATAACATAGTTTATCACAGTGTAGCAAGTATGTAATAGCGAAAGACACCACCATTAAAGATCATGTCCTTCACATAACCTGCCAGAATCCACGTGTGACTGAAAATACTCAAAAGTGAAGGCATTAGTGTAGGAAATTTATTCAGCTATGCATTAATCTCAATAGTATAAGGAGGGGTTTTTTAATAATCTCCGGTACTTTATCTCTTAAGCAAGGATTTTTCATCAATAAAAGCCTGAGAACATAGAATTTACACAGAAGGAACTCTGGGACTGGAAACAGGTAAGGCTTCAAAATAAGAATGACCAGGCTGGGTAAGACCAAGAGTCCAGTAGAACCAGTATCCTACTTCTCATAATAGCCGTGAATGGATACCAGTGAAATCCTCTCCTGACACTAAATTTTTAGCAAACACAAGATCCTGTAGCTTGACAGACACTGCAAAGAATTACTCCTTTTTTTTTTTTCTTTTTTTACCTCTCTCACTACTTTTGATATCTGAGAGTCACATCTACTGTACTGAGATTCATTCTTGGTTTCTGAATCTGGCTCCTGCCACAAAACCTGTTCTGTGAAGGCAGGCTCTATTGGAACAAGCTGCAGGAATGGGTCTTCCATCAATACCACTGGGTAACAAGTGAAATGAATTGGAAAAGAGAAGGAAATAGCAGCAGCATATGGTTTTGAACATCAAAATGACCACAGGAAGACGTGTTCAAAATACATTATAGCATACTTGCTTGTGCTCTGTGTGGTTTACCATGGTGCCAGAGTGCACAGGGCTGTAGTTAAAATTCCATTGATTTTTTTTCCCCCTTTTAGTGAAGTTCTGTTTTCAATTTTCAGTGTGCAGTAGCAGTGTTACCAAATATGGGAGAATCTGCAACCACTCTGGACCTGTATCTCTGCACTGGGAATGCATAACATAAATGAATTTCTTTTAAATTTACTTTTTTTTGTTTGTTATTCCAATGGTAAAGCACTGATTTCCTGTAGCCTCCAATATGGACAGAGAAGCTTACAGGCAAATGATAAGGTAGATCAGATTTTTCCTGCTTTGCATCCATGCAATTTAAAAAGAGAAAAAAAACTGTGAAAAGGAATGCTGTTGAATATATAAGATACAGTAAGAAGGGTTAAAAGGGTTAAGCTGTTCAGATCACCTGCTTCACATCCAACATAAAACCTTTTTTTTTTCTCCCTCCCTCCAGGAGGAAAATAAACAGTTCCCTTATCCGTAGGGTGGTAGCAAGCCCTAACAAGGAAAAGCAGGGCACATTCCTTCCTTCCTTCCTTTATAACCAGTCACTGAATTGCTCCCAACACATTCCAGATCTGGTAGAATAGCTTAATTGTCTTCACCTGGAGGCCACTGCCTGAATTCCTGTCAGTTAATATAGCACCTCTGGAGTGAGACACTACGATGTCTTTCTGATGAAAGTGGGTTAAGCACCCAGCCCCATGGTCATGAGCAGTTTCATAGGCTCATTTGCATATGAAGATTTATGAGTTTCTTGGGTGTAACTGTGCCTATAAAAGTTCGAGTCTATAAGTGTCATCAAACGTAATTACTCCCTAAAGACTTAGAACAGATACGAGAAAGATGAAGAACTGTTTATTGTAATAAGTTGTGGTTATGAGTGAAATCTTTAATTGCTTCCTTGCAATGAAAGGTCTGCATGGAGAAGGGAGTGTTGCTGGTTTGCTTTCACTGGTGTTGAAAAAGGTAAATTTCTGTAACAATTCATGATCAGGCGTGCAGTGTTATTCCACAAGGCAGCTGAAATTTTGCAAAGCTATTCAGACAATAAAAAATTATTGTCACAAAACATTGTCAACCAGTATTCTGGGTCAAAATTTCTCATTTCTGTAGTTACCATTCACACAGAATGTCAAGAGGGGTCTCAAGATTCAAATCCTAAATGAGTAGTAAACCAAAATATTTATACTTTTTTCCAATTAGACAGTTAGACTAGAAACATGAAAATATGTAACTGTAGGAACTCAAAACTAGTAGTTTTTCCTTCTTATGCACTTGTTCTATTCCTACCATATTTTATGAAGTATTTTGTAATACAATTTAAAAGCTCACTTGTGTTGCCTGATTCTGCTCTCAGTGAAGTGAAACATTCATGTTGTTATAGATAAAAACTCTGGAATAGAATTGAAAACAGTTGTTTCCCTGAAAATATTTTTTCTTTGTGTAAAGAACTTATTATACCACAGGAAAGGAATGGAATACCTGTTTCTCAGGTGTCATGTGCCAATATGCTTCTTCATTACTCCCAAAACTACTGAAACATTACCCAAAGTAGACCAGCATTAGACTGGTTTACTATTATGATAGCAGAAGGAATATGCTAATTTAATTAATCTTTGGGAAATTAAACTAAAAGAGATCTGTAGATCATTAGCTCCATAGTTGGACTACTGAAATTATTTTTGCACAATGTGTTTTACAGGTATTCCTGAAAATCAAAGTTATGAAGGCAAAGAGGACTATGCTGTTTCATCAGCAATAAGCTCCTACTGTACAGATGTTCACTTTAGCTGTAACTAGTCCACAGTCACCCCTATACACATATGAGATTTGAGAATGAAGATCAGATGAGTAAAGAAAATAGCAAACCCACCTGTAGAATTTAAATTATCTGTCAAATGTAGATATTGCCGGCCATTCTGTACATCAGAATTCCCTGTAGCATTTGGTTTTTTTAACTCAACTCGAGCAGCAGCTGAGTCATGTACAAATCTAACCCTGTGGCACCATCCTGTGGCACACCTGGCACTTGCACGGCTCTTGTCTGCTCTTCCAGCTGCTGTTACCTGCCTGTGACTGTTCCACCAGCAGTGGTGGAGCAGAGGATGGTGTGGAGCTTTAGTTTCATGTCTCTTTCTGTGGCTAAGTATCACATTGGCTACTCTAGCAAAGTTTCACCTTGTTCTTGGGAAAGTGATTTGAAGGGAAGGGAGTTTTCCCTACTCTCCTAAAGTTGATTCAAATATACTAGTATATTAATACAAATTTATAGTATAAATACAAATAAAATACAGAATTGGGAGATATGTATTTGAAGAAGAAATACTCAGATAGGCTGTAAATATTCGTTCAGTAATTCTGAAAAAAAATAGAATAAGATGACTGTGGGATTGGTTCTGTGGGAAATATTGCCAGTAGACTCAGGGTGGTATATAACTGGAGAACAGGTAATACGGCATCTGGCTGTAAAAGGAAGGGAGAGAAGTGATTCACGTCTCAAAAGTCCCTGATTTTGAGTTGTCTGCAATAATTTAAAGCAAATAGTGAAGTGGTGAATAATCAGAATACACAAGATTATATTTGATTTAGCTGGACTTTCCTCAAAAATAATCTGAGGAAATTGATTGATTTTCTAGGCAAAGACAATGGGACACACTTTATGGAAATGAACCTTAATAAAACACATTATATGGTGCCACTCAGAAATTTATTAAGCTGAGAAAGCTGATAATTGTTATAAGGATTACAGTACAGCCAAGGAACTGGGTAAAAGCAGTAAGATACTGAATGATTTTTAATCATGAATCCAATATAGTCATTAGTGACCTCACATAAATGGTACCAGTGCTCTGTTGACAAAAATAAAATTAGAAGATATCATTAATATGATGCAGAAAAAAATGGTTGATTCCAAGAAGTGGAAGTATTGCATTATGTTGGAGGAGACTGTGTAGCTTTAAGGCAAATCTTAGATCACTTTAATCATTATTCTCATGTTTGCTCCACTCTTCTAATAGCTCTCTTGCAACTTGTTGCTGTTATACTGAAATACAGCAAACTCCAAGAGCAAAAGCATCTGAGTATTTCTTCTCAGCAGCAGAGGCTATGGTTGCGCTACATTGCTACACGAGTCTTATTTCTGTTATGAACAAAAGCTTCAGTTTTTCCTTACTGAAATGATCTTGAAAGAAGTAGAGACTTATGTTTCTCAACATGTGACGGTCCTCCTGCAATTGGAACAATTGCTTTAAGCTGTGAGATGGCACAGAAGAGGAGCCTGTTGAGCACCCACCTGAAAAATAGCAATTTCAACAGTGCCTGAATTAAACTTGCAAAATGTGCCTGCAAGAATTACTCAGTACTTGCATGTATTGATCTCTTGCCTAGTTTTAGCAATTCACCCTCCTTTTCTGCCAGACTGCAGGTCTTCTTGGACAGAAAGGTATTTCAAAAACGCAATCCAGACAACACAACTGCTCTGCTTCTCATTTACCCTGATAGTTATCTGAGTCAAGCCCTATGATTTACCATTTCAGATTACAAAAAGAAATATATAATAAGATTAAAAATTATGGCACAAGTGTTTCTGAAGGTCAAATACCTGGCACAATTAAGTTTAGGGAAATAATTAGGAATATTAAGTTTATATTTCTTTTTGCTTAGTTATACACAACTATTAGAGTTTTGGTCCCTAGTTAGTATTTGGTTGCTTCTGCTGCCTGTTTATGCTATTCCCACCAAGTTAGTGTGAAATAAATTAGCATGTGAACATTCAGTGCATTAACTAAGATGTGACAATAACATGGAAACATGTCTTTACTTGTGGTAAAAACTCACTCTCATTTCAGATAACAGGGCAATTGGCAGCTGAGTTTTGACTTCGAATGATGTAATTTGGATGATTATTTACTTAATAGTTAAACTGTATCTTCTATTTATATGTTCTGCATTAAGATGGACTGTGTGGGTTCAGCCTTGATGAGCTGGAGCAAAGAATCCTGCTCTACCTTATAAACTGTGCCTTAGCTGGCAGGCAGAGAGGATGAGCTTTCAGCTGTGGCTTAGGGTGTAGCTCTATGTAGGAAGGAACAGAGAATTTTCTCACGTTGGTTAGAGACATACAACTTTACCCCTGAAGGATGAAGAGTAATATTTTTCTTCCTTCTGCTAGAACATGATAAAACTTCACTATTTATTTTTTTCCTATGAAATAAACATTAATTTATTTTTTGTATCAAAAAAGGAAAAGGGTGCCTATGAATCTGTGTATTTATTTATATACACACATGCACACATATGTCTATCTATATAACTACAGAAACTTTCACCATTTTTTTCTAAAACATGTAAAACACTGGCCTGTATAGCACGAAGGCAACTATCCTAATGGGTATCACATTATACAGCTATGTCCATTAGATCTCCTGATAAATTCAGTTTAAAATTTTAATTTCCAGTTGACATAAGCTAGATTTAAAAGCCTTGTAAGCAGCAAGATGTAATATTAATAAATTAGTAGTAAAAATTATTAGTATATATTAATAGCAATACATAATATTAGTAAGTAGTAGTAATAGTAATAACATGTAGTAGTAACATCCTTTCTTTAAAAATAAAAAAAAAGTAGAACACCAGCAGCTTCTTTCTATGTATATTCATGGAGAGGAGCTTCATATTTCTTTAAAACTTTACTATTTTCTTAACATTCTTCAGGAATCCATTTTTTTGCCTTCTCCTCTACTGTTATTGATTCTATGCTTATTTAACAAAAGCTCATTTTTTCACATTTCTGAATTTTACTCCTTCAATGACACATTTTGTTACCTATTCTACAATACACTAGGATTGTATCTCTTCCTGCTTGTTTCGTGCAACTAAAAGGTTCATTATGTTCCCTGGCTGCCTTCATTCCTCTCATTCTATACCATCTTTGCTAAAGACCATCTGGATGATCCTGAAAGTATCCTCCAGCCCTGTTTTTTATGATTCTATGATCTTTAATAAACAGAAAGATCTAAAGTCTCTCTTCATTTCCTCAATGAAATTTAAAGATCCACCACTACTGTACCTTCTATACAGTTCCACTGCATTCTCTATTTTTTTATCACTAGACAAGTATCATCGTTCACAACTCACACCTTTCCTTGTTGATTCCCACTCTGTTACCAGTGTATTTTCTTTCAAAACTATAAATTCCAGTAAATTCCAGTGCTTTGAGAGAGGCAGAAAGCAACTACATCCAATCTCTTGGAAGATTTTAGGATCTGAAGATTTTAGGATCCAAAGATGATAGTTCTAAACCAACACTCAATTATGAAAACTACTGGAAGGCAGTGCTTGCACTAGTAAAATACCCTTTTGCAGAAAATGTTGCTAAGTAAAGCAGATGGATCCTGCATGTGTGTCTTCTGGAATAGTCCAAAATAAGTCTGCCCCAAAAGTGGTCTAAAACTGCCCAAGAAACTTGAATTAAGGCTGTATCAGGATGAAACCTTTAGTTATATGGCCTCATATGGTTTTTCCCACAGTATTGCTGCTTCATTCAGTGAGTAGACAGCTATTTAATATTCATTTGTAATACTGAATTCATTTGTAACCAGTATCTAGCACTGGACTTTAATGGACACCATCAAAATATCATGCAAAATCTAAAAACATATTACTAAATGCTAAGTATTTTTAAAAATACTATGTTTAAAGAAAGATCCAGCAAACTGCAACCTCTTGGTAGCACAGAACACTTCTGCAAATACCTCTCTGGTATACCCCATGATGAGTATTCTGAAAATGGGGAAAAATAGTAGGCCAACTTTTAATGTGTTAGATAATTTAGGGGCAGTATCCGGCAGTGATTCTGTGACAGAGTTAAAGTGATAGTTCGGGTCAGCTTATCAGCATTTATCTGCCTTAGCCATAGAACTGTCGTGCTTTTTTTCACCTGCCTCATATGCTGTGTTTCAAAATTGTTGTAATATATGACAGAGCAGGCCTGTAGGCAACAGCCTACTTACCTGTACAATCAGAATCCAGTACAGGTTCATGCAAGAAGGGAACTGGGGGTGTTTAGTCTGGAGAAAAGAAGGCTGAGAAGAGACCTTATCACTCTCTACAGTTACCTGAAAGGAGGTTGTAGCCAGGTGTGCGTTGGTCTCTTCTCCCAAGAAACAAGTGCTAGGACGAGAGGAAATGGCCTCAAGATCCACCAGGGGAGGTTTAGATGGGATATTAGGAAAAATTTCTTCACCAAAATAGCTGTCAAGCATTGTAACAGGCCGCCCAGAGAAGTAGTTAAGTCACCATCCCTGGATGTATGTAAAAGACATGTAGATGTGGCACTTAGGGACATGGTTTAGCGGTGGACTTGGCAGTGGTGGTTTAAGATCATTGGACTCAATGATCTTAAAAGTGTTTTCCAACCTAAATGATTCTGTGATTCTAAGAACTGAACTTGAACTCCTACCATGATTCCCCCATCATGTCTTCTCTCAGCCCTTTTTTTCTCCAGTTAGTTAGCTCAAAATCCCTCCTTTCTGTTTTGCTCATAGCTCTGAGTCACCCTCTTGTTTTGCAACACATATCCACTCTGCTTTTCTTGTCTAATGATTTAATTTCCTCCTAATACCAGAATCATTGTTCAGCCCATGTAATCTCCTTGTTCAACTGGTCTCTAGGTCCTCCTTCCACTGCCTTCCTGACCCAAGATGGCTCAGACTCCTTTTCTAAATACCGTCTTGCTAAGCCACTCCAGTTTCTGTAGCCCTTCTTCACTGATTTCTTGTCAAGCCATTTATTTATCTTCCAGTCTCAGTCTTGCCTCATCCTAATGCATTCCTTTCACCCCTCATCTGGTTTATCTGCTTGCATTCAAATGAGTGGGATAATTCTTAAAGTCAAAAACTGTTACCTATGTTCAGTCCCCATTTTGAACTGCATTTTGGTGTAAAACACCCATTGCAGGAAAAGCCTTTGAGCCTGCATAGTATTTGATCAACAGCTGACTGCTCAGTCTGTATGGAGGAAGGTTGCAGAGACTTGGATAACATGATCTGTAAGGCTGGATAACAGGATCTATAAGGAAATGGGTGCTGCGTGGTTGCTTTACAGTGATGCAGTTTGCTTAGCAGCAGGAGCTGTGAGGGACCTGAACATACCAAAGGACAGAATCCCCAGCCCTGTTGGTAGACTAAAGTCAAGAGTTGTTACAGAAGGCATACGAATCTATTTTTGAAAAGTCAGTAATTTGGCAGTGTGAAGGAATAAGTGAATATCATATGTGACCTCTTATTGGTGTATAAGAGCAGACCATTAGGCTCCTGGAATGTTCAGTGTCTCTGACATGGTTAATCAGAAGGGCTCCTATAATAATCACCAACTTGTGAAACAATGGGTGGAGACACGACTTTGATTTTAGAAATACACTTCAAGTTACGACATTGCTCCTCCATCTTCTATCTTTCTTCAGCTGGTGAGTGTGTAGCAAAATGGTAATTGAATCTGTGTGTTAATAAACGCAAAGTATTGCATACAGAGGAGAAATTCTAATTCTACCTTAATTCTCAAAAAAGGGCTGAATTATTTTGACTCAAAACAATGATTATCACTTGCCAAGGATAGAAGTTTAGTGTATAACATGCACTTTATACAAAATAGTTTGAAAGTCTCTGTAGCGAGAGGAAGTAGGAGATGATAGTTTCCAGGAATATGCTAACAGGGAGAAGAGTTTTGAGGAGTTTAAAATTGGACCCTCACTACTGATCTTGACAGTGATTAACTAAGCAAATAGATCTGCACATAGAATGTATTAAAAGCCTTGTTCTGTTACATTAGCATCCTTTCTACATTACCAATGTTAAAACCAAATTATATTTGTTTAAAGAACACATCACCATGATATGTATTTGTGGCTATAGCTCCTGGAAAACAGAAAGATGGGTCTGATTAAATTATTATGGTTTCAACCTAATGTCTGTTATCTCTTGACCAAATATGAGTGA